AATGGTTCGAAGTTTTTAATTTGATTTAATCGATTAATATAATAATATATAGTCATGAAAGCGCGGGACCCATAAAAACACGAGGAACTAGCCAAGACCTCGTGTGCCTTGTGTTAACCCGGCCCAGAGTATAAATATATTTTGGAGAGGGAGAGAAAACTATAACGGAACTAAATATAAGATAAGGAAATATTAGCCATTTTTATGTTCTGTTATTTGTCTTGTTGTAGTTTTGTAGACACATTATTTTAATATTATGTCTGTTAAACTAGCATCGAACAGAGGTTTTTATTAAAACCGTTTATCGGTATATTTGTGAAATACCCATTAGATCGCACTAACTGACAATGTATAAGGATTTATGTTTTATGATACTGGCATGCTTCATATATAAATCAATTGTTAATAGTCCAATATAAATTAGTTATTATTGACACATGTTTACAAACTAACGTGAAATTCGTGTTAGATGCTAAAATTCCTTTATGAAATTAAACTAAATGTAAGTAAACAAACAATCAAGAAACCAATAAAAAAAAAAAAAAAAAAAAAAAAAATTAGTTTTCAGCCTATTTTCAGTGCAGTTGTGCTTTGCCACCGTTGAGAGCCACTGTTTACAATGACTAACTTCTATGTTTATATGAGTTGGCCTCTCTTTTTATGACATGGCAAGTACCCACGAACGTGAAACACGAAAAAACAAAATTTTAGTTTTACGAATTATTTTTATTTTGCAAAGTGTTATTGTTAGTGTAACTAAGAGATGTATATTAAATTATTCCAAGTTCTCTGTTTTGAGACTGATTAGTCTTGCATGCTTTGTAACTGAAGTAAACGTGTATAATTACAAGAGCTAAAAAAATATCTGGAATTTCCTGCGCTAAACATAGAAAATATATATGCCTCAACAAAACCGAGAGTTTAAATAGTTCAAAACGTTATAAACAACACATTAATAAAGTACAGAGTAAAAACAATTGCAACTCGAAACTGGTTAGGCCTACTTACAATAAAACATAGAGTAAACACAACTACAACTTCTGTACAACCTATATATTTTAACGTAAAGAAAATATTTTTAATTATTATATGGAATATTTTTATTCATAAAATAAATTAATTATACTTTCAAAATTTCTCATCTTCACGACCCTATTGGACATTACAATTTATAACTAAAAGCAATAGGTGTTTTATAGGTAATTTTGATAATAATAATAATAAGTTGAAATATTTACATTATAAATTTATACTTTTGCATTTCTGGAAAGTATTTGCAAGGTTAATAATTTTACATAGTTTAAATTACTGGTTTTTGTTTGTTTTTTAGCGCAAAGCTACGCAATAGATTATTTTCAATGAATCTACCACGAGAAATCGAACGTAAATTTACCGCTGACCCACAGAGGGGCTGAAATTATTAAACACTTTCTTACGTAAATAGCCTATATCCGATATTTTAAAAATATTCTCAAGAATATTTAGTTTTGTTGATGTTAAGCACAAAACTACTCAATGGGCCATCTGAGCTCTGCTTACTCAGAGTATTGAAATCTAGTTTTTAACGTTATAAACCATGAAATTTACCTTAAAAGGACACTCAAAACTAAATGGAACAGTATATTTTATAGTTTAATAATTGGTAATTGGATTGATAATTAACAGGTGAAACTCGATGACGAGTAACCCACTTTGAGACTAGTAATGGCTGGAGACGGCTTGAATGGGTAGTGAATGAAGAAAAACTTTAATATAAGTTTAACA